CGGTCTTCTTTCACCTTCTCCAATCGTCATGTCTTTGCATTTGGTGGGGTTAAACTACAGGAGCCAGTTGTTGGACCAGGCTTGCAGCCTGTCCACATCCCTTTGTAGTCCTGCGTGATCCTCATCCGCTTGAGTTCGTGTGCGTATGTTAGTCGTGTTGATTGTTTTTGTGATAGTAGACGAGGCTTGATGTGATGATGGTGCATGCAAGTACAGTCACATGTCCTTGTAACTTAACTTCTTGTCTCATTTGTTGCCTCAGATCCTTGCCTCGCTCCTTTGAATTGCTCCTTTCCCCCGTTTCTTTGAATCGCTCCTTTGCCCCGCTTCTTTGAACCGCTCCTTTGCCTCGCTCCTTTGCTTTGCCCCTTTTTTCACTCTTACCATGACCTTAGAAAATATTTTTTTCCTAGGCGAGAAGTCGCAAATGACGTTGAATTGTCGGTCCCTTTTTCTCTGTCAGTTTATAGTTTTTGTTTTCCCTCGGGTCAGAAGTCAAAATAATGTTTGCAGATACCGCGACAACTCCAGAACGTCTGAGTTTTGTTTACAGTCGTAACTGGGCAAGAGTATTCAAAATGTTCTGTCTCAAAAAAGTGTTATGATCATTGTCTCAAAACACTTCCTTTGCTTGCATTTCCATTTTCTAATTAACTTTGGTGTAGATTTGTTGTCTGGCGTTTAGTGCTACTTTGCAAAGTTTATAACTTACTGGTGTTCTTAAGGGTGTGCCTAAAGTCTCATTTGTTTTCCTTAAGCCTGGTCAAGATCATGTCAGAGATAATATGCAACTACCTCTGTACTACTACTTCTACTACTGCCACTAACACTAGAACTGTTACTATGACGACCACTTGATAAAGCTCCTGGAGACCAAAACGCTGCCACAATAAAATGTCACATTAGTTGCACTTGTGTCCTTTTACTTAACATGATCTTAATGGACACTAAATAACATCATGCTGAAATAAAAGAAAAACTGAAGTTAGTGCTTGCGTCTGAGCTACGGAAAGATATGTGATAAAGAAAAGGATGAAATAAAAAGAAGACAAAATATATTTGTTAAAAGAATATGTGAAAGTTTGGCGATGAAGGAAGCGCCCTTCTGAAATTGCCTTTGTATTGACTAAAAAATAGAAACCTTTCTCTGATGGAGAAGAAATTGTTATGCCTTGTCTCCAAAATGTCTTGGTGACAAAGATATTAAAAGAAAAGTAGACGAAATCGTTGTGTCTAAGTCAGCAGTTACAACACGCACCGAACAACTTTCCCATGATGTATCTGAGCAACTGAAAGACCTTGCCTAAGCTTGTACTTTCTTTTCTTCAGCTTTGGGCGAATCTGCTGATATATGTGATGTTGCCCAGTTAAGCATTTTTAAAGAGGAATTGATGATAATTTTAACATGTTTGAAGAACTTATCGGTCTTGAGTCAGTTCATGGAAAATCAAGAAAATCAGATATATTTGACAAAATAAATTTATGCCTAGAAAGTCTGCAAGTAGATTCTAGTAAACTCATCAGTGTTTGTACTGACGGAGCACCGTCAATGATAGGTAAAGCTGCTGGAACAGTAACTTTTATTGAGATCTTTTTAGGTCGTACTCTACTAAAATATTACTGCATTATATACCAAGAGTCAGTGTGTGGAAAAACTTTAAATTTGCAGCATGTTATGCTACCGCTTGTGAAATGCTTGAATAAAATTATACCCAAGAATTCAGAGAATATTGTGAATTGTTAGATTTGTAATATGGTGATCTCGTCCTTCATTGTGAGGTGCACTGGCTTTCCAGAGGACAGCTTCTCAGTGGATTTTGGAAACTGAAAATTAGTGTTCATAATTTTCTAGAAGATAATGATTTAACATTTTTAGTTGATGTTACCAGCCATCTCAATGATCTAAATTTGAAACTGCTGGGCAAGAACAAATTGTGTCCTAGCTTAGTAAATGATATCAATTTCATTCAAGGTGAAGTTAAAACTGTTTACCTCTCGGAAAATGAGGATTTTATCAAGTTTCCACATTTAATAAAATAGAGTGAATGTACTGAAGATAATGGCAGTTTTACAGAATATATTGAAAAAATCAGATTATTCCAAGAGTCATTTGAAAGTCGTTTTAGTGATTTTGCTAAAGAAGACAGCATACTCGTACTTATAAAACCATTTTCACTTTTTGAACAAAAATCCTGAAGATTCTTAGTAACATACAAATGAAACTTATTAATCTGAAAACAAATTCATTATTGAAAATAAAATCTGATAAGCTTCTCTCAGTCCCAGATGCTTCTGACATTTTTTGGAGATCAGTCCCCTCTGAAAATTTTCCAGAACTAAGAAAATTTACCCAGAATTACATGTGTCGTTTTGGAACAACATACAGATGCAAATAAGCATTTTCATTCATGAAATTTGTTAAAAATAAATTGAGGTCGCGATTGACTGATTCAAATTTGAAGAATTTTCTGCTGCTATCAGTAACTAATATAACTCCACC